AAGCTTAACCTTATAGGCCGCAGTTATCCCATAGTGCCTTAGTACAATGCCGTCTCCGATATAAGCCAATAGATAATAGAAAGCTATATATGGTTGCAAATGAGATTCTGCGCGCACTATGTATATGATATCCAATCGTCTGTATATGAGACACCCTGCTTTGTCTTGACCCGAGTTCTCCATTGAAAATAACCAGTTTCGGGGCCAATGCATACCTCATACATACCTATACCGATTTAAAGTTCATTTTGGTTACAAATCTGGTTCCTTGACCTTTCCTCCCTGTGACTCGATATACTGCTCCCTGGTCTGAATGTCAAATACGGCAGGGAGCATAACATCGTAGAATAGATCAGGAGGCGTTTCGCAGCCAAAAGATCCTGCTTCGAACTCCCATCGCTCAACAAGGTCCTCCAAATCATCAAATCCTTGACTTTCCTCGACCAACGTGTCTGGGTCTACCAGAACTCCAGGGTTAAAATCAGAACGCAGGATCGATGTCTTGTTCACCAAATGTTCAATGCCTTCCTTGAATCTGGGATCAAGGGAAAAGCGATCGGGGTTGACACCGATCTGTTCTATAGATCTGAAAAGGCCTAGTTCGCGGCATTTATGGAATGCCTCGCCCTCGGCAATGCCCATCATGACGCACCCCTGGAAAACGTCGGTGCAAAATTCGCTATGGACACCACCCTCCAGCGTAAAAGTAAAAGAGCCTGCGGGAATATCTAAGTCCTGTATAGCAAGAGCGTCAATGAGCCAGGATTGTAGCTTTGGGAGGAAGGAAGGGCCATAAAGCGGCCTTGTCTTGGCTCGAGTCTTCCAGTCCGTGTTCGGCCCCGCGAAGTTGTGGATACAGCCAAAAAGACTGACACAGCGCTCCACTCGAAGTAGGGGATTCTCCTTGAATAAAGGGACCAGACCCTGGGCATGGAGTGAAGGCATGTTGACTGATGGGCAGTCTTCATGCAATGCGAGCCTGCGAACTTGGGCTCGTTGCTCGGCAGGCAGCTTGTTAAGGAAACGTATTGCTACAGCGGTAGCCGAGAACCTTATTTTTTTGAGATAACGATAATCGAAATGATCAACCAATCTCATGGGATTATCGTATTCCGCACCGTATTGACATCGTTCGGCGTTTTCTGCACGTGGCTTGAGGGGATCATCGCCGAGTTCCCGGTAGAACCCGCGGGGGTATGACCATATTTCAGGAAGCTTCCATACAAAGTCATGTATATCCAATAGATCCAATGCACGAGCGACATCGTCCCTTGAGGGGATGTCCCAAAGGTTGAACTTGAGACCAAGAAACTCTCTTGGATGGTACTTACCGGTCCAGTGGGGCAAGGTCTTGCGTAACTGATTGTCAAATTCCGTTGGTGCTTCTTCAGCGATGAGCCGTAGGCAATACGAAAGTGCATCTCGGACATCCCCTGACTGCTGTTGCCATCTATCATGAGAGCCACCACGCGACAAATCACCACATGGGTCCATGAAGTCTTCTTCATGAATATCAGCAAAGCCAAGATAGGCAGAAGGGCCATAGACATCAGCCCTGTCAACCTTCAGCCCGAAAAAGTATCCTACCCAGTGGCAGAGGGGAGGTCGCATCCTATCGACAAGGTCTTTCCTCGAGCGGGGCCTGTCCTCTACGGGGTTCCTGATATTATGGTTTGCCAGTTCTGATTCAAACATAGACCTGAATCTGGGAAACTTGGCATCGAGCTGGGCGAACATTGCTGGAGTAATAGACTCGGCGAGATGAAAGGCCAAGTCTTGCTCTAGGATGTAGTACGCAGTAGCAACGAGGTTGAAGCAACCGGCCAAGCTGCGCCACTTATCGCTGGTTGAGAAGTGGATAGTGTTGACCGCCAGGGGAATCGTGGCCGTGTCCCTTGCAATGGAGCGACATGTGTATCGAAGGGAGAGGTTAATCGGGGTACGGGCTTCATCGGCGTTGGTCAGTTTATCGGTTTGTGCATTGTAGATATAACCGCCATCTACCTTGAGGCACTCTTTGAAGATTTTCTGACGAATCTCTGATGGGAGGTCTGTAAGGAGCTTTGGAGCCATTTTGGAGAAGGTGACGAAGGTGAAGGTAAAGGCGATGATGAAGCTAAAGGCAAGGACAGACAGCGGGGTTCTTATAGTGGGCTGGGTGCGCATGAGTCATCCATAGCAGGTAGCCAATCAAGTGAAAGAAGCAAAGACCCTCAGCCAAACTTAAATGGATAGAGGTCGTAATGGACGGGCCCGAGGTTGAAGAAGAAAGGCTCAAGGCTTTGATCCTAAATGACAAAAAGATTTAGGTAAATTAGCATAAGTTTAGGGTGTCTTTTGCCGAGTTTAGGATATCTTAGGATATCTTTTGCTGAGCTTATTTTAATACCCTGTATCAAGGTCTGATGTTTCCTTGCTCTTCAAGGCCTAGGTAAGCAAGGCAACGGTACTCGCAGGTACCTAGCTAGCAACAAAAATGCTCTTCACGGGGTATCACAGGCAGACAGACGGGAACAGCAGGTTGGGGTGTGCCTGAGCACGCTTTTATTTTTTTAAGTTTGCAAGTCAGCCTTGAAAGGTATATCCAAGCATCTCCAAAGTCTAGCATAATTTAAACATTAATTGCCTCTCAGGAGGCAAAGCTTCATTAAGTCAATATCATTAAGTTGGCAGCCTCATTCGCAGCCTGAACCTTACCACAGATAGGCCAGCTTGGGAGCCCTATCGCCAAGAGTTAGCAATACAACAAAATGATAAGGAAGCGAAACACATACTTACTTGCTCTTCAGCTGGCCCAAATCTTCCTCCTGCAACCCACTTCAAAAGACTAAGACACTTCAAGTCAGCTATCAGTACAAGACAAGAGGCAGAAACGAAGATGCAACAGAGGGAAGAGTAGACTTACATACCGCGCTTCAATCATCCAACACGCTTCAACTTCTAGGTCAGCTAAAGCCCAAGCACTAAACACCCGACCGCAAACTCACCAGTAAGTCATCCAACCCGACTTCCCTTATCATGTTAGCCTAGCTTCATCACAAGAAGGCCAACATACATACATACCTTCTGATCGCAACCGCTAACAACATCACAGCTACACCGTCGCGATGCCTATTGCTGGGGGACCAACGGTCAGAACCTCATACGATAATACAACCAACCTAAGGGTAGAGGGTTACTTACTCAGAAGAAGCTTGCAGAGACCCCGCCCCGGCGAGCCCTATTTAACAGAAGACCTCGATGTGATCCCCACGATCAAGCAAGGTCTCCAAAGGGCTAGCCAGGGTGATCGCAATAGGCTTCGTGATTTGGCTGATGAGATCGGGCCAACCTGGGGGAAAGAAGATGATGACGGCCGCGTTACTGTAGAATATTTAGTTTCAAACTGTAAAGTGAGATATACATAGCTGAACTTACGGCTTGCCCTCTTTGGCTGTGAGGTCCTCCGGCTTGTACGGCAGTATCTTGATGACCCTCAGATCAGCGAAGACTTCCTCAATCAAGAGATACAGAGCCTTCGGACTCTCAGATGGGCTCTTAAAGGAGGGCAGCTATGGCGGAGGCAGAAGGTGTTCCTCGAGGCCCTTCGTGAGCTAGGTAAGGTAAGTAAGATAAGTAAGGGATATCATGTTGGTAGACACGGCACTTACAACGCGTACAACGATTGGCTCCATGAGATCAGGGTGCAGTCGATGGTGGTGCACTTCGCGTTGAAGGAGATTGGCAATGCGTGACTATTGATGAAGGCCAGGTTAGCATAAATATAAAAGAGGTAAGGGACTTTGCTCTTTGACCAAGTGCCATATAGACCAAACTGGTTATGGTCTTGGATTGTGAGAGCGCGACTACCCGTGACAGAAAAGTCAGCGGCAGCTCGGAAAGTGTTGAAAGGGAGGGCAGTTGATGACTTACAGACGAGGGGGACGGCGTACTGCGAAATCTGCTATCCAAAGATGGTCAACGGAGGAGAAGGCGAAGCAGGAGGGCGAGCCTACTGATGAAAGAGGGGTAATCGCGGGGTTCTGCTAAGATGTGTCAGAGCTGTGGCAAACGGGCTTGCCGGAGTGAAGCTGAGGCAGAGGCAGAGACGGAAGAGTAAGAGGAGGAGGCGATGGCGGAGCAGTATACATACCGGGGGGGAAATGTATTGAGTCTAACATCGGTCAGCGACATGAATATACAGGTAGAGGAGGTAAGACTTACTTTGTGTAGGTTCAGGAGCCTAAAGTCAAAGACCTGAAGTCGTGACTGACTGAGTAAGTTGGGCCGGGATGAGAGTAAGGTTGAAGGAAGACTTACCGTCGGCGTAATCGGCGAAAAAGGCTAATCGACCACGTGACAAGGCACGTGACCGTCACTACGGATCCCGATGAAGAACGTAAGCAACAGTCGATCGGAATGGAAGCGAAAGGGAAGAAAGAGAAGGAAGGGAAGGGGAGGAGACACTTACCGCCTAGAACATCAGTGCACCATCAGTATAAACAGGGGCCTCATAGTCAAGTGAATGAGCTAGGTGAGGAACCCTGAAGACACGAAATGGAATGGATGAAGAAATTATAAACCAACAAAGGGTTACAAATGCAAGGATTGAGTTATGGGTGAACCTGGTCCTGCAACCTCATCGTCTTCCAAGACTCGTGCGTTGGGGGGTTAAGAGCCCCCGGAATCAACATAGAACATAGAGTCTAGTCGAGCCAAGGAAAACTGTTCAAGCCCGAAGTACATCATGGCCCAATGAACAGCAACCTTCAGGTCAGTCGTCAGAAGCGTCTTCCATGCGAAATGCTTGACCTTCCGAATCAACAGTAACCTGGCATCATGAAGATCAGGACACTCCATGAACATGTGATAAACCGTCTGGTTGGGGTGCCCGCAGGTACAAGTAGCTTCGATTCGTACCCTGATGACCGCGTCGGAGCCAGGAACCTTGACCTCCCTCATCACGTGGCACTTGTTCAAGTACCAATTGAGTCCAACGCACTCAGTCCGCAGTTGCATACCAAGTGTAGACTCGGGGCGCGTCATACCACGGTAGTAAGCTAAACTCTCTCCACCCCATTCACCTTTGAGTGCATGAGGCTGATAAGTACTGGTCTTCTCATCTTTGCGTTCTGAGAGGTGGGCTGCCCATATTCCTTTACTTGTCTCAGTAGCCTGCCGAATTGCCTGCTGCCGGATGGCCCTGTTGCGGTTGACCGGGTTCCTCCAAGCTTCAAGAACTGTTGTTTTCGGCGGACACTTCCAAGTATCTTGAAATCGCTTTCCGGCTTCTCCGACTAGTACCCTCGCGATGCCATTCAGGACGTCGAAGGCGCTTTCGTGGTAGGCGTGAAGCTTGTCATGGAATCTTCCATCCTCATCGTGTTCAGGTAGCCTGTTGAACCAGAAGTCGTGAGGGCGCACCTTCAAAGACTTTGCGCGACAGGACATCGCCATACGGTAGAGGAAGACTTCGATGCTGTCAATGTGACACTCCTTCTCCAGGACAACACGTGGGGTGGCACGTATCGCACCAGACAACAGCATGATGCACTTGTACTGTAGCTTCTGGAGTCGCGCTATCTGGCGAGGTGGTAATGGTTTCCGAAGTCCCGTTAGACCCGGCTCATGCTTACGCCAGGCGAACCATGCTGCGCAAGCGTAGGAAATGACAGGCCGAATCTTGCAGATGTAATACTGCCTAGTCTTTTCGAGCGTCATCCCCCAGTTGGCCCCCGATATCCGTCTTTGATACCTCAACGCTGACTCAACCTTTTCCTCGATATGGGTCAAGTGGTGTTCAAAAGACAGCCAAGGATCCAACATAAGACCGAGAACCGGAAGCTTCTCCTGCTGAAGACATTTTGGGTTGTTCCTGAGCTCGTAGATGTCGGGCAGTAGCGTACACAACGGTTCAACCTCTGGCGTGTCGGTCAACCCGAGGTTCTCGCGTTTCCGTTGGTCACTCTTCCGCTTGGCGTCACTCACCCCATTTTGAAAGTGCATCACCAGGGACTTCTCCGGAGAGAAGGAGAGATGGGCGCCTTTGGCCCATTCCATGATGAGATCGTGGAATACCTTCAGGAGAGAACAGTTCTCCTCGTAGGATGTGGATACAGCCATAATATAAGTGTCGTCCACATAAGCAAAGACATGAACCTCAACATTCGGCCGATCCAGCTTCTTGATTTCCTCGGCAAGCATTACAAGTAACGGCGCCGTATAAAATAAGAAGAGCAGAGGGGATAGCGGCGATCCTTGGGGGATGCCGATGTTGACGAAGAAAGGTTCTGAAACGCTCTGGGGCAGTTTGATAACGATCGAACGGTCGGAAAGAAACGAGTGAATGACGCGGAGGAACCATGTAGCGACGCCGCGGTCGGCAAGAGTCTGGAGTAGTAAGACGCGATCCACACAATTGTAGGCTCCAGATACATCAAGTGCAACAATCGAGACGACCAGTCGAGGTATCCTGTGTGTTGGCTTCCAGGCCCAGGCTTTTCGAACGACACCCAACATAGCTGTGAGAGCGTCTGTAGTGGATCTTCCCGGAGCACCGTACTGTGTCTCGGGAAGAAGCTTGTGATCCAATGCAAGCTTCTTCAGGCGCTGGGCAAGGAACCGCTCAAATAGCTTGCCAAGACACGATAGGAGTGCTATAGGGCGCCAGCTATTTGGATGGTTATAGGCAGGCTTAGCAGCCTTAGGTAACATGGACGTAATGGCTTTCCTAAAGGCTGCTGCGTGATAGCCCAGCCTGATGCATGCGTTGAAAAGCTTAGCAATGTAAGGTGCTATCAGCATGCGACACAGCTTGAGGGCTTCGTTGGGGACCTTGTCCTCCCCGCAAGCCTTCTTTGACGGGAGCCTTTGAATCATGGTAATGATCATAAGCTCCGTCACAACCAGATCCATTTCGAACTCCGCTCGATCGGGACTGAGGTCTGGGAAGGGAAGTTCTGGAGGGGGACAATCGCTCGTCTCTGACCAAGTGAAATTGCGAATACAGATCTGCTTTTCTTTCTCTGAAGCAAACGTACTTTTGTTATGGACAAGTGCGGGCATATTGATGACATTTTGAGGCTGGGATTGCGCCTTGCCTATCGCAGTTGCCAACCAGAGTCCCTTATTGGCGATGCTTTGGCGATAGGAATTTTGGTTCCTGCCTTGCACATGTTTGGCGTGGTCATCCAGTCGAATGTCGGGGCCTGCGGGAGTAGAGAGACACTCAGTCGTCAGGATGTTCCGCAGGCGAGGATCCAAGAGCTGTTGTCGTGGAGGGGGGTTTGCAAGACGGCTGCCAACATGCTCCTGTATAGACTCATAGATAATCTGGACGAGTTTGGATGCAAAGGCATCCAAGTCGTGGTGGGTATCCAGTGGCATGCCATCGAGATGGCAAAGACACAGTCCGACAGCTTCGAAGAAAGCCTTGATGTTGACACGGTTCCATAACAGGACCCTGCTGTCGTCTCGGACACAGCTCATATCGAGGATTGTCCTAATGGGGCGGTGATCGCTCGGCTTCCAAGGGTTGTCTTGAAAGACTCCCCAATGCTTGACCTTGTGACACAAGTCGGGACTGATGAAGGTGAGGTCGATACATGAAGCTGTGTGATGGTTATCGCCATGACCCATAGTGCAAGTCACAGTGCCCTGTTTGGTCAAAAGTGCCATCTTCGCCACTGTAATCATCTCATGCTCGAGGACTTTGGCAGCCAGTGTATGATTGGGCTGTTTGAATAAAGGGCCGCCCCATAAATAGCGATGAAGATTGAAGTCGCCGACCACGATGTTGCGTTGACCGAAAGTGGTTTCCTTAACAAGTTGCTTGACGTCGATATGTCTCTTTGGTCGACCGTCCTTCGCCGGCTGGTTCACATTGTAGACAGAATGGATGGCAATCCGCCCTTGTTGAGTGTCGAGAAAGAGTGTCGCAGCCATATCTTGATTGGCATCAGTATGATATTCCACATGCCAAAGGTGTCTGGGAAGGGAGCGATGAATAAAAAAGAAGACTCGGCCGTATTCGACAGGTTCCGATTGCTCCGGAGCTTGCGACGACTTCTTGTTGCCTTTGCCACTCCGTCGATTGTGATCATCGGGGTTGTCAGTTGGCACGAGCGGCCTGGCTGGGTTCATCTCGAGATAATAATTCGGACAAGTTCGCCATATGGTTCGGGATGACGGGTCACAGCCGCAGATGATGTCGGCAGAGCCACCATTTTTGCCTTGTCGCTGATATGACATGAAGGCCTGCGTGCGTCTCCATGAACCGCCGAAGTTGGCTTGATCAATGATCAGAGTCTCAAGCCTCGGGATGCATCGCTCACGCTCGGCCTTGCGCCTCTTGCGCCGAGCCTGGCGACGCCCCATTGGGAGTGACCGAAAGCGTTATGAGACAGACAGTGATGCGAATGAGTTGCAACAGTACTTGTCTGACAGCTCGTCGGTCTGACAACCGACGAGCTGTCAGGCAGTGTCGACTCGAGTTGAAGGCCAGAGAGAAAGGATGATGATGGGATGATAGTAAGAGAAAAGAGTCTGAATGAATGGATGTTTCAAGATGGAAAGAGAAAGATGATGAAGAGATGATATTCGCGTTGTGATGCGATGTCCCAGCTTGTCTGCAGTGTTTACAAGAGCAAGTTTGGAGGCGGTTGAATGAAAGAAAGAGTGGTTGAATGGTTGAATGAATGAATGAAGGAAGGAAGAGACGAAGTGGCCGATGGCGACTTACTTATTGATTTGCGTTGCCTCGGGCAGCCCAAGTACCTGCCTCAGCCAACTCAACACCAAAGGTACAAAGTCATTGAACGCAACCTCAACTGCGATAATTTGTCAGCAACCTCGGATTGTTGAGAGACCCGAGCGGCTAAAATTGCCGTATTATCGTATGATCGAGAAGCAAATCTTTCAAGGCTGGAAATTACACGACGAGGATAAAGATTTGTTCATTCTCGTTGCTTCCGAGGGGCGTGAGCTGCCGAGCGCGCTATGGTACGGCACGAGGGCTCTGAAACCTTCCACTAAAAACCACGCTACTGGGGGGAGTGCAGCACCCCAACCTCCCCTGTACGGCTGAGACAGGCTGCGGGGGGTGAGGACCTACAGTGGTTCACCGCTGCAATCAGGCCGGGGTGCTAAAGTTGTAAGCGCGCCTCGCAGTCTCGCAGCGCCCGCTGTGACGGGAACTATTGTCCCGCGGATCCGGATTACACAGAGCGCCAAACTCACGACAATCCTCCATGCCATTGCAACATCAACGGTACGAGTTCTTGGTGAACCTCGCCCCCTGTGCTAGCATGGTCATCGCTTCAACGCTGTAGCTAGCTCGGGAGAGTCCGTCCCAGTCTCCGCTAATCGTGTGCATGGTCTTAACTAGGTACCTAGGTACGTATCTAATCAGTGCAGCCGCCTCAAGAGGAACAGCATCGAGTCTGTCCCCGTGACTCAATAAGTTTGCTGAATGAGCCATCATTGCACGTGTTGTAGTCGGTGAGCCAAGTTCAAGGCGACTCGCAAGTCCAGATCTGCAAATTAGCAAGTGGTGAAATTGTGCATTAAAAGTGGCGGCGCAAATACATGGAAGAAAGTGACGAGTTATTGTAAGAGATGTTCGATTTGGAGACACGAAATGCAAGACGTAACAAGAGATTTCGACAAGATTAAGGCAGTAAATACACTATTAATTAGGGCACGTTGAATAACGTTCAAATCCTTTCAATCAACAGGCATAACAGGACACAACAGACAAAGAAATTAACAGCACCCAGATGCCATTTGCCAGCATCTCCATCCTCAAGTCCCAGATGAACCTCCTCCATGTCATTCTACTGTTACCGTCTCTTACCATGTCTCGAACGACGCGATTTCAAGGGAATACTGATGCCAGAATTATCTGATGCATCGCTATCAGACTTCTCTGACTCGCTCTGACGAGCAGAGGAGCCGGGGCTATCATGAGCCTTCCTCTTGCTGCGCATAGGGCTTGGAGACCGCACGGAGTCGCTGACACTAGCTGTGTCACTAGCAACCGATATAGGCCCCTCGTACTCCTCGGAATCGCTGTGAGATCTGTGCCGAGACGAAGTAGCTTTCTTAATGTTGCTTTGGCTATGCTTCGCCTTTTTGGATGCGGGCATCTCTGAGACTGATCCAGCACGGCTAGCCTTACGCGCAGAAGGTTTGCGCGGTGTGTTGATGCCGCTTGCAGGCGCGAGGAGGCCATCAAAGGTGTCAAGACGGCGCTTTTTCAAGGTTGCCTGGTCGAAGGTAGCCGGTGGACTTCTGGTAGTATTGTCACGTTTCGCACGTGAATGATCTCTCTCCCGGTGAGAGCTAGGCGTCGGTTGAGAGTGAGAAGCCGTAGTGCGGGACCGCGACTCAGCTCGACCACACTTCTTCTGGATAATAGAGTCAGAAAACGCAGGACTTGGTTCTTTGAACCTTCTATTCGAAGACTTCAAGGTTGATGCATCAGCGGCAGGCTTCGAAGAAAAATACGAGGCCCCTCGAGAGCGCTGACTCCTTGGAGGAGACTCTTCAGAAGCTTCGGAGTCGGACGCGAACGGGTCCGAGCTTGCGTCATCCTCATCCTCCGAAACGGCAGATTTACGAGACCGTCCACGATCTCGGAAGGATGACTTGCTCGAGGTCTGTTTGTCGGGCGTTGAGTCCATAGACTGCAAAGGTGAATGTCCATGACGAGAGCGACCCTTACGAGTGTCTTTGGGCTTCAAAAGTGATGGCGTAGGAGATCCAGGAGCCTGATGCTTGCGCTTGAAGACGGATTCATTTGAGATGGTTTCTTTATCTTGGGGGCTTGAGGGCAAAGTGTTGACAGTTCCTGCTCTCTTCGAACCGAACGAGGGCTCTGGGGCTGGAAGCAGTAACTTGGGGGTCGCTGGCGCGTCCCGTAGCTCGAAACTGTCGCATAGGTTATTGAAACCCTTCAAGAACTCGGATCTGAAGGCAACGAAAGATATTGGCCCGCGCACAAGCTGCAACGATGCGCTGGATGAGGACGTCGGTTGAGAAAATCGACCAGGAGCCGGTGCCACAGCAGATCTTTTACCCCTCAAAGTAGCTTCTGCGACAACTCTTCTTCTTTCTTCTGCTCTGTAAACATCTGCAGCCTGGCTAGCAGCAGCGCTCTCGGCTCCCCGGACAGCCTTTTCGATTTCAGCAGCATGCCTGGCAGCTCTGGCATCCTCCTCGCAGATATCAGGCCAATCACCACCGGCTTGCGCACCAAGCCTTTTGTCGAGCCATTCTGCAGCCTCCGGCCTCGTCTTAAAAGACTTGTCTATTTGCGTATGTTAGAAAGGAGAAAGGCTTACATGTTTTCGTCATGTCTTACTGCTGTTGTCCTTGTAGTTGTTTGTCAATATCTGGCGAGTCTCTTCGTCATGTGCAATGCCGGTTTTGAAACCTCTGGCTATTGCATAGAACTTGGCCATGGTTCTCCTCACTACACGAACGTAGAGTTGATAGACAGAACCAAGATGGAACAGAGCGAAATGTCGGGGGGCTAACCAGTGATGGGTTTACAGGAAGCGGCCTTTGTGACTCTTGACCGTACTGCCGTATATGCCGGGTGGGAGCTGACGCGCAATCCGTGGCTCATCTTGTGATGTTACCCATTCCTTGTTGTCCCGACACAATCTCCGACTCGGCATAAGAAATGCTCCATGGGCTGATGTTCCTGGCTGAATACGACCCGCGCAGGTGACGAAGCAAAGTTTCATCTTTGGGGGGTCGCGGTATACGCGAGAACGATGCTAATGTCGTAAAGGTTACATCGTGTTAGCTGACCATGCGTTCCTTTCAGCTAAACCTTCTCACTGGTCTCATCCGACAACTTCCTGATGCAGTAACGAGGCTTCGTCCCATTGGTGGACCGATGGTGTTTCCTTATCTATCAGACCATGACCCATGTATGTATTAAGACTCGGCAAAAGATGGAGTTTCCGGTTGATGGAGTGATATCATTTCCACCAGTCTGTGCGCAATGCAAATATTGTCAATAGAGCAGAGTAACAACAGGGGCCACTGGATCTAGAGGCGGCTTGCTCGGGCTGTGTTGTTGAGACGGCCGGTGCGTTTCTGCTCCAAAAGCTAAAGCTAGGGCGAGATCAGCAGTGCACGGTCGGGGTAACCAGTCTAGTTAGGTACCGTATCACCACCGCCTGGCTTACGGCCCGAGCACTCAGACCCCAAAACCTGCTACCTAGGTACCTAAGTTAGGTAGGGTGTAGCCGTGCATAGAGGGGCTTTTCAACTCCCGTACGGCAAGCTCGGCAACATTAAGACTAGCTTTGCGACGTCTCGTTCCGAACCTTGAATAGTATCGTCAACCCCAGGCACAAAGTTTAGGCTTAGACGTGCTCTACACGCCCCAACCCCGAGCCCTTGTGTAAACTCTATTTTTAAGCTCTGGATCGACAGGGGAAAGAAAAAGTTCCGTGAGCTGGGGTCCCCAGTGCCGAAGCAGGGGTCTGCCGCTATGTCATGGCGCTACTGCGGATGCACCATTGAACGGCATGTCCCAGTAGTCCCAACATTAATTTCCTCTTCCGGGTTTGCTGACAGTGGCTGTGTCTTTGTCTTGGAGATTGAAAATGTTGAGTCGCTAGAAGGATATGTATCAACTATCAACCATATCACGAGCGCGGCAAGTCGGGAGAGTTGTGTACAACAAGCCTATAAAGACTTCAACATTCCGCTACAGAGCACCATCTTAATCTCTCTCAGACCTTCATTCACTAGCACTATACGTTACCTATACCTTTCTACCGTCGAGAATCTTCTGACATCAAAATCCAAGCCTTGAATCCGGTTTCAGATGCCGCTGGCGGCCAACTGATAGATGAAGCACTCTCACGTAACTCATTGATCTTGCCCAGTCTCAAAATGACCATAGCTGATTTTCAGTAACACAGACCAGGGATTCTCGACTCAAGAGCTGCCCGAACAGCGTCTAGAAGGCCCTTCCTCTGACGCATCCAAGACAGATGGTAAATTCGCAAACCTTGGTCGAGAAGGGTACCAAAATCGTTGCCATTTCAACTCCTGAGGCTACTTCCTCGGGTCCTTCACACAGCTCCCAGGCTTCCTCTGTCGATAAAGATTCTCCTATGCCCTCGAGCTGTGACGATTTGCACTCAGAGGACACGAACTCCAGCTCGCCGGTTGTTTCGTCCCCATCCAGCTCGATATCCCCAAAGCGAAAGACCTGCTCTGATGCTTCGAACCAGGAGGAGCCCTCGCCTAAGAGATCTCGAGCGAAAGTCAAGCGTGTCACAAGAGAACACCCCTCCACCGGCGACATTTTGACACGCCTCCATGCCATTTACCCAATACTCAAGGAATACACCGATCTTATGAAGAAGAAGAAAGACGTTGTAATTGAGCATGAGGCAGGATTTACCTTTTCCCTTGATATGAGCGGGGCTTAAGATGTACCTGATATGGACAGAGTGTGGAATTTTCTGCGAAGCGTATGAAGACTGGTACTTGAAGCGGGGTCGCAGTGAGCAATATAATCGGGCTGGTTGGTGTTTTACGGATACGTCGTGATAGTGCGTGAGAGACGAGTTCCTTTATTGTCGTCACCTATACCTATGTAATACAGTATCTTAACTTATATATTTACTCTCCACGGATCCCATTCTTAACATCTAGCCTTATAATGTAGTCTTAATGCCAATGTACGATACGTTTCATTTGCCTGTGCTATAGGCTATCTTAAACGCTACACCATGATAAATAGCTATACAAGTTTCTTCACGTGCCCATACAGCCAACCACAGGACCTAAAGACCAAGTTTGCTTTTACAAAGGGTCGCGTTCTCGCCCATCCATGATTTGGCTATTAGAAAGTATCAGCCCGACGCGGTCTACCCCAGAAGGGATGCTTTCCCTCGAACCCCTCACAGAGTTCGCTTTAACGCCATCACAGAGATTCTGTAGATGCTCCGCGGTGTTCGATTGAGTATTCATCGCGCTATTCGTTATCAAGTATGAAAGATAATTGAAGTTTAAGGTTAACCTGCACGCTAAAATACAGAACGTTATAGATAGTAGTCATCTCATTAAGAATGAAAAGGCTGCACTGTGTGCTCGTGAGGAAGAGATGTGCCACCCCGTTGGCAATTTTTAACCTAGGGTGCGAAACCAACATCATACGATTGGTCTCTGTTCATGGACACCTGAGCGCAGGGACATAGCTATTTATCCTTTGGGCTGATAAGCATGCTCTGTGTTACAAAAACGGGCAGTTCAGCCGTTATTAACCAAACAATCGAGAGTCCAACATGCTTGCTTTGAGCAAGCTGGAAACTTGGGCTATCTAGGCCGAGTATTCATCAATCACAGATACAAATTCGGCGCGAGATTAGTTATTTGCATAGTAAACATGAACAACTGTTGAGTCAAGTACGTGCTAAGCTCATAATACAGCAACAGTGGCTTGGTCGAGGGCTGCAAGGAGAGATTCTATTCCGTCACCTTATGACACAGGCTTGGCAATTTGTTCAATACTTATGATCCTTACTAGTAGTTCATAGGTATAGTAATAAACTGTTCTTAGACAAATTTCCAGCCAGGCAATGAACCAATGGCCCATACCTTAGCTGTTGCCTGCCATATCGGTCGTGTGAATTGGAGTCTTATTAAGCTGCCTGCAGTTATCTAGGGGTGCCATATCGGTCATTCGCGATCAAAAGCCATAAATACAATAACTATCTCAACAGTTGAAGCTCATATCTCGGTCTCGCTGCTCCTCGCTTGCGTTGTACAAAGTTGAAGGAAAGACCGTAATCCTGGCATGCAGTATTGTCGGTAGTTTAATACTAGGCCGGACTCGGCGATGATTAATACCTGCATTTGGTCATCGAGGCATGTGTAGCAGTAGTGATACACCCCGCCAATGTGCGGCCAGTTTTTTCAGTGGGTGATATCAAAGCTTCGTTTTGTTATGATCTCCTGTAATGCAAGTGGTGAGGTATTACAAACTGTGAATGAGGCATTGGTTGGGGTTGAACGGTGGAGCAAGCGTACTTCCCTGGACAACTCAGGTAAGTAGCAGCCTCTACAGAGCTTCAAAGTGGCAATCAAAATGACTTGCTGATACCGAGGCTGCTATAATTGCGTGATACATGACATTTTCACGGCGGAGAATGAGGCATGTTGCGGATTGTTCTGAACTGAATGGACTATATGCGGACAGTACGGGAATAGTTTCCAGTAGATAGATTTCATTGTAGCACACCGCTTGGCTTAGTTATCCAAAGATTGCTTCGAAGGCGAGGAAAATGAAAAGATATATCTAAACGAAGGCCCGATACTGGCTAGACTTTGCTACCCCAAGACCAAATGCTTGAGAATATCGTGACTTTCGGTATGCCCAAGTTGTACAACAAAGGCATATGCAACCTGAAAGAGCTCATTTACTAAACAATTATTAAAAATGTCCAGCAAATATCGTGGACGGCCTCAAAGAATAATACCAAGGCACCATTGCGTACACGTTTCAGTGGACTTCACACCTTATCTCGAGGGTATTAGCATCTAGATCAAGAAGAGCTTCTGGCAAGACAAGAAAAGGCAAAGTATCGAAGAGCTAATCAGTGATGGGTTTACTGCTGTGGCGGCCTTTGTGATTCTCCACAATACCTGAAACAATTACCGGCTTTGCTGTTCTCTACTCATATTTCTATTGCTCTCCCTGACGCCCGGGCATACTGGAATGCACGAACCAGCTCGGGGTACATGATTCAATAATCGTTATCCATTTATAATAACCCTGAATGCAGTTCAAACTAATCGTAACATCGCAATACTTGGTTTCCATGGCTAAAAGTCAAAATGCGATATGTCCTTGTATGTGTTTTCCATTGAATTCAGAGCTGTATCCACCTCACAGCTACGATAGCAGAAGGTTAGAGCCACACATTACTGTAGCGTGCTAGTAGTATCTCAATATTGCTCTATTGAGGAAACCTAGACTATCACATTACCATGCGTTTAAATATCAACCCAGTTGCTTAGATAGAGTCCTACTAGACAACCTAGCTCAGTACTTCCATCATGTCAAATGCCATACTCGTCAACATCCCTCAGAATATAATTAATATAGTCACCTGCCCCAAAGATATAGGATATAGGCAATAGTATAGTAAATAGCTAATAATTATAATAAAGGAGGATTGATATTTCTCTCTTTAGTAAGGAAAAGCATTTAAGTAATAAAAACATTATTTATAAACCCTTATAGGAGAAACATATTAATATAGTGTCTATATAGAACTGTATACTTAGGCTTAAAAAATATATTAAAATCACTAAAGTATATATATAAAGCCTAAGTTAGTATTAAAGCATTTCTAGGGCAATTAATCTCAATTCCCTCGGTTAGATAAGCAGCTCCGTCATTAAATATATTAAGTATCGCAAGTACTGCTTCTTTAAAGGCGTTCTAAAATAGATATATTAGCAAATTCAATTAAAAATTATCCTAAAGTCTCTTACTAATTCTCCACAAAAATCAAGTTACATTAATAAATACAGCAGGATATATACTATTTTAAGGGGCTTAAAACGTTACCCAGCTCGAGGCTGGCCATTCTGGTCGCAAGCCTCACCTTGGCCATGCCTTTGCCAAGCGATTCATTTCAAGGCCTCCGACTAATCAAGTTTATATAATATAACACACCTATAGCAATCTTATATAAGACAGGCTCCTCTTAGATTAGCAATTCGCTCTAGAGTCCTTGTAAAGATATATCCTTAACATTACATACTCATTACGGCTAAATAAAATACCAATAAAGGCTAAGTTGTTTTTTTAGTCAACGCTTTAAGTAATAAGAAGAAGCTATCAAAAAGATAATCAGCAAAGTTATCAAAGGAAGCTCGGATTTCATCTCAACAGGTTAGGTCTTTAAAGTCAATATCTTTATCTGCAGTTATTAAAAGTCCTGCAAACGCAAAGAAAGCAGCTAGCAATCTATCTTTAGACTTCTCACTTATCAAGTAGTTATATATTAAGCTAACCAGTTTAACACGGTTATACTTGTCGCGACCTGGTCTAATGCCTTCATGTTCGAAGTGTTTAATGATTTGATCAAGCCGGCGCTTAGCAGAGGCGTGGTGAGCTAGATCCAGAGGTGGCTGCGATGAGAAGTCCAACATTCCTTCGAGGGAAGACTAGTAGCAATGGAGCGCTAATGCAGGTGCAGGTGGCGCCATTGTGTTGTTGATTTTGGAGGTTGTGAAGTTGACAAAGGGCAAGGTGGAGGGAGTTACACTGACTTGAGTGGGCGGTGAACATGATAAGATAAGAAAGTGGCAGAACTCTCCGGCCAGCTGTAGGGTAGCGGCAACGGCCTACAGCTTGTTCAATACATACATTAAAGCTTGTCACTCTGATTGTGAGAACAGTGAAATAGTGTTTGGATCTCTATCAGTAGATAACTACATGTGTACTGTAGTTAATAAATAATTAAAGACTGTTCAATAACAGTAGCAGGGCTGCTGTTACATTAAGAAATATAGCTAAACGGGTCACGTGAGGCTTTGTCACTCCTTAACCGGAGCTAGCGTGGCTTCACCCTTTGCTCCTAAAAGCAAAACAACCCATCACCTCAAAGGTTGCTTATTCCTCCACGCTCTGGCCAACGCTTTTTAACATGTCCAGGATGGATTGCCAAAACATACCGGCAGAGCATATATATCGTCTCTCCCATCGGCCAGGAGAGTTGTTCTATTCAATGATTACTATTTCTGAACCCCCGAAGGCCATAGAAGCAAATCTAGCAGATCGCCGCTCCTCCCTCGGGATTCTTAACAGGCTGCCAGTTGAACTGCTTTACGGAACGATTAGCGAACTCGATTTTCTGACGCTGACGCGATTTTCGCGCGTTTCTGTTCGAGCGAGGAATTTACTGCGGTCCCTTCCCGCATATCAAGATCTCATGAACCATGCACCAGATGCGTTAGCAGCCCTCAGTCAAACAAAACTTCTTCATCTTCATTCGGCATGCAAACTTCACACTGCTCTTCGAACTGAGTGCTGTGCAACCTGTCGAGAATACGGCGCTTACCTCTTTCTCCCAACCTGCGAAAGATGTTGTTGGCAATGTCTGCGATCCAACCTAACACGACGGGTGATTTCCCCGGCAGCGGCCGGTAGAATCTTCGCCCTCTCGCCAAAGATGGTCCAGCAACTACCAATCATGTTTAGCATCCCGGGAACTTATGGCGTTGGACGTAAGCCCGCGCAAACATCACACAAGCTTGTGAATGTAGGCGCTGCAAAAGAAGTTGCCGTGTCAAAATACGAGTCGCTGGTAAATCTTAAAGAAGTCATTGCACGAAGAAAGTCTAGGGGGCAGAATGCCAACACGGTGAAATACCTGGAGGCTGTCTTTCTGGACTATGCAGATTCGGATCCTTTGATGATTCCAGATCATGGGGGTATTGGAGACGACCCTTATTTTGGCATGGCATCCATCCCATTCGCTTCTCTTCCAACTCGAGACGTTGTTGACAACGGACTTTGGTGCAAGGGATGCCAATGGACGTACGAGCGACAGAAAAGTCAACGGCTACCGGCTCACCTCATTGCCAACATGGTGCCAGTCGGTTGTGATCCCGATCGTGTACTATTGGGCCTGGCCAGGCGAGGTCACTCAAGAACAGGACTCTTGGAGCATATTCGAAGATGTTACGGGGTACAGAAGCTGCTTAGTGACAGATAAAGACAGGGAAATTGAAAGAATATCGTTATCCTCACAATCTTGGATGACAGAAGTCTAAAACATCGCAAGTTACACATACAAGACTGTGACCCTAACCCCACACTGGGCACTCAGCGCCCCTCGCCCGCTAATAGCATAACCCATAAGTAATCGATCACCTTCGCTGATGGCGCTGGGTGTACTCCGTGTTTGCCTTGCTTTCGGTAGGCATGTGCTTAAAACAATAGTTGCGTGAAGTCACCTCATCGGCGTTTATCTGGTCACATCGCAGGTTGGACTGAGCGTTATACAGCCGGTCACACTGTTTGAACTCGCCCTTTTGCCTGCACCCGCATTGATAAACGTGCCACATCTGAGTACACATGGTTCAGCGGGAAGGTCTTGGTGTTTGGAGGACGTGTTATGCAATGTAGTTGTTGGGTTCTTTTAGTGTCAGTATGGCAGCGACTTCGAAGACTTCGATTAACAGAGTTTGTGTACATACCAGAGTAAAACTGAGATTTCTAACAAGTTCTCAGCGATTTGGGAGGGAGAGGAGAGTAAGGGAGGGAGTTAAAGTGAATTGAAGTCAGGTTTCAAACAGGATTGACTGTCCCTTTAACTTGTACAACTTGACTAACATATCTCTCATTGGCATCCATCACGAGAGCGGCGGGTCCCTTAATGACCACGATAGAGGAGTTGTCAGCGCGTAGAACTAGCCTAACCTACAGAGAGGCCAACTGTTCACCAGGGCGCTTAGAATGATTGGTCGTGGATAATCGTGCTTAGTTATACACCTTGGCCATCTCTTATCTCGCCAGGATGAGGGCCTTCTCCATAATAGCAGCGGGGCTGTAGCGCAAGACAAGATTGAAGCGCGTAGAGGAGGCAAGCTTGCCAATGGGAAGGCTAGCCAACGACCAGCGATGATCTTTTTTTAGGTAATAATTCATCAGGGCGCGTAAGACAGTTAGTTGTAGGCGCTTGCGTTGTTTAGTCTTACGTCATGGCTTCCTCCATAGGCTTTCGACAGCGGCAACACATGCATTCGGTTCATTATGAGACATTTGGGGTAGGCCGTAGGCAAGGTTTAAAATACGGCGGTCTGAATCGTGGTACGGAGTACCAATCATGGCAATGGTCTAATTGGGGCATTAGGCGCTGAACAAAATAGTGACCGTGCGCCAAGGGTTACAGCACTTCCTCCTAGTCTCTTCACGTGACATTGAGCCATGCCAAACCTTGTTGTTGGCCATCAATTGCTTGCTCTTCATTGTGTTCTCGACGACAGAAAACAACTATTTCTCAAAATGCCTTCTACTCAGCTAAAGCTAGACTCAGGGGGGGTCGTCCAAAACGACTCCATAGAGATACTATCGCAAATAATCTCTGATGAGGAAGGGATGTACCGCGTCCGCTCTGGACAGCGTGTCTACTACCTTACTATTCCCAGCGATGTCTTCGACGAAGACACAATGTGCCGTCCCTACCTCCTCATTCCCCGCTTGCCGTGCTTGTCAGACATATCAGGAAGCAAGATAGCACTCTCGCGCAACAGGGACGGCTCGCCCGCCGTAACTGCCTCCGACGACCCACTGCAGGAGGTCACATTCACTTGGCACGATGAACGTATCGATGTATTGTCCCTACCAAGAACAAAGGGCCTTAGATCTGGTGTTTTTGAGACTCTCTACCAAGGCCGACCAGCTGTTGCAAAAATCGCATGTTTTGAGTGGCAGATTCCAAGCCTTACTCGCGAGACGTGGGCGTATTGCGTCTTGACACAATCCCAACAGCCAGACGACGACCAATCTATTGCGCCTAAGTTCCTGGGCCACTTGACGGAGAACGGGCGCGTGATGGGCTTCCTTATGGAAAGACTGGAAGGCAGGTTTGCGTGCTCAGATGACTTGGCACAATGCACAGCTGTGTTAAGGAAGTTGCATGGCCTGGGAGGTATGGGGCTTGTGCATGGAGATATAAACCGATACAACTTTATTATTGAGGAAAGTCATGAAGGGCATGTTCGCTTAGTGGACTTTGAGCATGCACAAGACTATGATGAGAAGCTCGCGCAGGAAGAGCTTAAATCACTATATGCGGAGTTGGCTGAAGAGACAGGACGTGGCTCAACTATTACTAGATCAGTTACCTAGTTATAGCAAAGTTTCAAGCTAATACAGAGCCACAATATCATCTTTATAAGGAGCAGTCAAAGGATAAAACGTAGTAATCACACAGGGAGGCAGGCTAAAGAACAAGACATACTGTAAAGAAAGGCTTAATACCGATTTAAGTACTATTAGAAAATCATTATCTTGCCAGTATAAATAAATAAGCGTTCTCTATTAGCGGAATTATTATCCCCCGATTCCCTATATGGCGTCTTTTCGCCACGACCCGGTAGGGTTAATGGAATTGTTAAGCTTGTTCTAAATATTAGTAAATGTATCTATATAAACCTTAGGTTAATTTCTTATATTAGTAAACCCTCTAGCAGTGTTAGGAGTAATTTTAAGCTGTAAGAAATAGATTTTTATTTATTTATAGCTTTTTACTAAACTAAAGATAAAACTTATATTAATTTAAATATTAGTAATTAATAAGAAACTATAATAAGTTTATATTTAATTAATTACTAAAAATATAATATTTAATTAATAAAAAAGCAATTTAATT